TAGGGAAGCCAGGGAAGCCAGTGCAGTAGCCAGGGGAGAGAGGATACTAGCTGAGACTAAGGTGGTAGTTAGGTGAAAGATGTGGATAAAGATCATTTGGGAGGTGAAATAAAGCTTGGCCATCAGTAGAGCCCAGCATGCCTCCAGGCCACGAGATGAACAGCCATGTGGTGCCCCTCTTGGGAAAGGGAAGATAGCACATTAGAAGGAAGATAAAAGGATCAGTGAGTGTCCCCATGATGAATGATTGAGCCTCTGTGTTCGAGGTTTCTAAGAGGAAGCAAAGGCAACAAAGGCAGGAGTTGGGTGAAGGAGGGTGACAAAGGACAAAAGTCCAGGCCCCATGCTGTTAGACCTGTAATAATGTGGACAGAGACCTGGCAAATGGTCTGACAGCCTTAGGGTGCTGGAAACTGAGGTTAGAGTTGGTGTCAGAGAAAGAGGGGCTCAGATTGAAAAGGGGAGGAGTTGCTGAACAATGGCCAGAAGAGATTTGCCCTCTGTCCAGAGAGAGGACCTGGGAGGAGCATGGAGAGCCAGGATGGGGACATCACCACCTTCCCAAGCTGCTTGGGACCAGAGGTGAAGATGAAAGTGAAAGAGAAGCAAAACAGGGTAGTGTCGTCTGAGCTAAGGTGAAAGCGAAAGCAGATCCGTGAAGTCCCGCTGAGAGCAAGGCTTAGACCTTTCGCGCTCCCCACTGGTCTCACTCCTCTAACCGTCGACCCCCAATCCCTGGACTGCCCTGCTCACCCCAAGATGCTAAAGGCAGCGCTAGAGCCCCGAGGGGGCTTCTCTTTCGAAAACTGCCAGAGGTGAGGTGGGGAATGTTTGATCCAGAGCTGCTTATGCTCTCTGTAAGGTCTTCCGGGAGTGGGAGCCCCAGGGCCTTTATTCCTGGTGGCGAAAGGCTAGGGGGGGTAGCATGTGTTGGGTGACTTGGGTTCCCAGGCTTACTCCGGGAGGTCAGAGTGACCAGGATCGAGCTGGGGAACCTAAATATGGGCCACTCTCTTTGTTTCCAGAAACACATCCTTGGAACGGAAGCTCCCGGGGCTTCGGGTCCCTCATGCACGAAAGACCGGAACAACCATCGCGGGCCTTGTGTTCCGAGTGAGCAGGGGGAGGGGACTGGGAGGCTTACATGGGCGGCCTGGGATCAGCGGGTACTGAGTCAACGCTCTCTCCGCCCCCCAGGACGGGGTTATCTTGGGCGCGGATACGAGGGCCACTAACGATTCAGTAGTGGCGGACAAGAACTGCGAGAAGATCCATTTCATCGCGCCCAAAATCTAGTGAGAATCCCCTAACCCCGTTCTCCCACGCAAGAACCGCCCCCTCGTTCACGTCCCGGGTCCCGGCACATCCCGGCCCCGCCCACGCCGACACTCCCTTCGCCCTCAGCTGCTGTGGGGCTGGAGTAGCTGCGGACGCTGAGATGACCACGCGGATGGCGGCATCTAACATGGAGCTACATGCGCTGTCTACCGGCCGCGAGCCCCGCGTAGCCATGGTCACCCGCCTTCTGCGCCAAACGCT